GACCGAAGAGTGTTATTTTGACAATCACAAAAGACACTCTATAGGTTAGTACCTATACAATACATAGTGTTTATATATTTATGGCCAAAAAACTAAATTTTCATTTTTTTAAGTCCACAGGGGTTGAAATAATTAGAGCAAAATAAATTGTCAAGCCGCCCTACTAATATTAGCTTTTTAGACAGTTGCGTAGTTTGCTTAGGACAGATCGGCCTTGTCCTTCAGAATTTAGATCCATCTAAAAGTTACAACACTGGAAAAAAATGCATTATTAATAAAGAATTGAGGGAGGTCTTCTAGGTGGAGCGATGATTTGAGAGAGGTCGCTGGTAGGAGATGGATGGAAACAACGTAAAACAGTGACAAATGGGCGCGTATTGGGGGTGGCCTAGTCCCAGCAATGAACTGATGGGAGCTAATATGACGATGATAAAAAATCAAATTTTTACGATGCTATTACCGCTTTCAATAAATTTTCTTCAAAAAGACTTTAACACAAATCCTCCAATTTCTGTCAGAGTCATCACACTTTTTGGGTTGGGTAAAATACATCGAAACAATCGCGAGAAACGTTTGGAAACTTTTCGTGATTAGAAGAAACATTACCTTAGCCTGTCGTGATCACAGAATCTGACCAAAGGTGATATAATAATCAAAATTATGTAAAATGTTGTATAAATCTCTAAAAAAAAGTTTTTATTCCATTGTAATCTTGAAGCCTACTCTTGAAAGTGATAGATGTCCCGATATGCTAACTACAAAAGCTTCCAGGAGCCGTTGCGATAAAGTAGGTAGCGATCGAAGAGTTCACTGACTAGCTAAGCTATCAAACTTGATCGCTAAGAAAATAATGAATATCGCTTATTTAAGATTTGAACTCTGTTCGCGCCTAACAAATAACAATATACTTAGGTAATAACTACTTATTTGTAAAGATTTGCAATAATCGTTAACTTACAATCGCTCTGAGACCAACAGAATTCAATAAGATAGCGATAGTAGTCTCTGGGCCTCCTTTATTGATAGTTATAATAGTTTACAGACAACTTTTTCAGACAATAATCTTTCTTGCTAACAGTACTGGTGTCCTACGGTATAGTTTGACATGTTCTGTCTTATTAACTACATAACGAGGATTGAAGTTAGTACTAGATTTTAACTATTGGCCCCCTAAAACAAATTAACAATTACAGAAGATAATGTGTTAAATTGAGACGTGATGACAGTTTAAACGTAACCCACTAAAGTCGTTATTTTATAGTAAGACGGGTTCGGTGCATACCCAAATTTACTTTGGTTGCAGCAGTTCTTTAAATGGTTCAACTAATAACGCAACAAAAGTGTCAAATGTCGCGAACTAAATAGTAAAACCGCGGTGTTAACCCCATAATAAAAGCAACAGGTCTAATATAACGCTGACATGTCAAGCGAAAATGGTGGTTACTGCTTGAGTTTAAGGTCAAAGGCCCATTTTATTGTTGACTGGTTTACGACACGTGTCTCGCTTGGCCCATATTCCTTAATAGCGGTAGCCTGGACGATGGCCCGTGGGACGCGCGTGACCACTCCCACGTACTGTAAAGGAGACAGTATAACATACTGTATAATATACTGTCTCCTTTACAGATACATTGAATAATAAATTAAGAAGCAGCGAACTGTAGACATTTTCAAATAAAAAAAAGGTATTGTTCAAGTTATGCCTTCAAGTTAAATAAGATGTATGCATCTAAAATTTCAACTCAAGCAAAATCTAGGAAATACAAATACTCGTACTTGGGTTAAATTAACTTGAAATTTGGTACATTAGTTAGGATTAAGCAACACTAAGAAATAACTTTTAGAAAATCAACCCCTTACAAGGTGAAGTTAAGAAGGGGGTGAAGTTTGTATAGAATTTTCTCATTTTTGGATTTAGAAATATGAAAATAAGTATATACCTAGTAGCCTGATACAATTACCAACTTTCAGTATGGAGATCAAACATTAAAACATAACAGCTGTGTTTTTTTTATTATGAGGCTATCATATATTTCCTTTTTAATATATGAATTAATCCAACGATATTTTCTTTCGGATTATTAGTAAAAAAAATAAAATTCCTTTAATCTCTCAATGGCATGATAAGCAAAATACATATAAAGTGACTTCTACGTATTTTCACACTGTTACTTATGTTACTTCCATAAAATACGTAAATCTTCCTAATATTATATTTGGAAACTCATATTTTTATATAACACGGACAATAAATATTTAAAAAATATTTGTAAAATAATCAATAATATTAACAATGAAATACAACTTCAATCGATATTACTATATTGCGTTAAGTATATTATGTTTTGAATCCAATGAAAATCTCCATGGGAATATTGCATACCAATATTCCCGTGGAATATTGGTATATAACACGCAATATATGCAGCAGACTTTTGAGTGAAACACATAGTCTACTAAATATCATTAAAATCCACTCATAAATATTTAAATAAAAGTTTTATTATATTAAAATACAACAAAAAAAATTAAATATAAAAATAAAGTTTAATAAAAATCACTATTTCCTGTAATTTTTTTTGTTGGATTTCAGTAATTTTCATTGTCGCTATGATAAATAAAACCAAAATTTGTGAAAAAAATCGTGTTAGTAATTTTGCGTGAATAAATGAAGGTTTTTTGACCTGATGTTTTTTTTATACCTTCCGTAGCTAAAATGAGATGGATTCTTAAATATAGTCTCTTGTAATTGGCTCACAAACTCGATTAAAAATATTCCAGGCTTATATCGAATTATTTCCGTTTTTCTCGTATTTGTATCAGGCTATAGTACAAGACCACGCGGGCACTGGCGGAAATCTAGTAATAACATATCGACGCTGGAAAGCAAACACGTAGTAACCGGCAACACCAAAATTTTTCTTCAGGGCAGAAAAACTTTTTTTTATCGATAAATAATTCCTATAAAAGTCCATGGTAACAAATAAGGTGTTCCATAGACAATTTATATGGAAATAAGACTTTTTTTTTGAAAAAAATAAATATTTTCCTCTCCGTATGTTCATTTTGGTTTTGCAGGTTACTACGTGTTTGCTTTCCAGCGTCGATATGTTTCAATGCTCATAGCTATAGACATTGAAATAGATACTTTCTAGAAGAGATCACTTTTAAAGATAAAGCCGCCATTTGTACGTCTCCTTTCTACAATTAAAATTGTATGTATAACGTGTGTGTACAATAAAAAGTATTATATCTATATACGAGTATCTATTTAATAGACACTACATAAATGTTCCTATTAAAATCATGTAAAGTATACAAAAATTTAATATATAGAGCATTTTCGATCTTTGGCAATGGCTCCTGAACGGAAATGCAGATATAGCGACAAACTAAAACTTTCTCGTATAAAAACACGTACGTTCTTGTACAGGAATAAGTTAAATCATAATTTATATCATCAAATTATTTCCCGCCGTCTGCTTATTGGTGTTAATCTTTTAATTTTTTACGGTAGGTAATTATGGTAATAGATTGGTCATCTTTCACTGACATACTACTTGAACATAATTTATTCTATTTTTTTTTATGAAAAAGGTTGCTAATCAACCTTTTTATTACGATAACATTACAGCTTATTATTACCATAGCTAATAAAAAGTTTATACATAGTCGTTTAACAAAAAATTATATATGCGAATGCTCCCCTCCTTCATTCTTTTTATTTTTGTCCTCTACCTTAAAAATGTAGCCCTTTTGAATTGTCCAAAAATGTTTTCCCTACCTCTCGTTCATGACGTTTATAGCAATCGTGTTATTACCGAAATAGTTTACCTTTAAACCTGTCTTTATTACAAAAGAATTAATCCTAAAATCAAAACTCTTGTTGCTTAGAGAATCAGCCGAAAAGACTGACGCCCAATAAACTAAAAAAAAAGAAACAGAAAGATAACAATCAAGAAAATATGCCCCGATTATTATAGAACGAATTATTAATTCGATTTTTATAAACATTGGAATTGATAAGAATCCATATATTTATATGATAATTTGCCATAAGTCTTCAAACAGCGATCAAAACATAAAAGCATCAGTGTCTGTATTAGATAATGTCGCAACATAATGCTAAGTCCACATCCGAAACTATCTTATACGACCTAGTTTCACAGTAAACACAACGATACTCTTTCTTCGATGACTCGTTGACGTTTGATGGAAAATGTGCCATTTATAAATGGACCCGAAGAGAATTTAAACAGTTATTCACTGTAAAACAATGAATAAGCAGTAGATCGACCTTTCCAAAAAAAAGATACATTTGCGGAATCCAAACCTTTACTTATCGAGGGAGCGATTTGTCATGTTATTTACACATTATCATCTCTTATTTTCATGTTAATTATTCTAGAGAATAGATTGCTAGTTTTCTGACAACATTATTAAATATCTTTTCAATTTTAATTTACAACACTTAAATAAAATAGACCATTAAACTTGCTATTCTATAAAAAAAAACTCCGACGACGAAGCATTTGCTCTATGTATGCCAAATAAAACCCAATTCAAAATGTAAAAAGGATGGTTTCAATCAATTACGAATGATAAAGCCTGATGATTACGGATTTTTACCAACTTTATTTAACCACCAAAATAAATGTGAAAGTAATAAATAAAACGAAATATCGCCATTGCATCGCTAAGATGTCGTATCATATGGTTATAGTAAAGGCTAGAGAGCTAGGCGGTCGCACCCTGATAATCGATTGACTATAGTCAATGCAGAAACTGTTTTTTTCTATATTACCACGGGCCTAGGTGTTGTGGTATCTTCATTATTTCAGATACTCTATAATACGAGAGATTTAGATACGAGCGCTTTAGTTGTCCAAAATTTGATATGATTTTTAGAATTAAAACAGTGTAATGTTTGTTTTTCTCAGGTACCTCGAGAAAGTTTCAAACACATCGTCAAGGCGTGCGAATGCCCTCTCTACTGGAAGATGCCATTGTTCCTGGCAACACAGCAGAGTCTGCACGCACCTGTCGATGGACACAAATTCATCGACTTTTGGAGAGAGTAAGTACATTAGATTTTCATTAAAAAGTTCTTAAAAACTAGATACTACACAGTTATAACGTCGTTTGAAATCGGGCTACGATTTTCTAACAATACTTTTAATGAAAACTGCTTAAAAATCCACTTTGTCCCTGGCACTCAGAGATGGGACTTGAATCCATAACCTTTCACAATCCGAAAGGCGAATTGCGAAAGGTCATGAGTTTGACTCCCACATTAAAGTGCCAGGGACAAAGTGGATTTTTTAAGCATTTTCATTAGGAATATTTTTCCTATAGCATTGTGCATGCAAAAAAGTGTTTCGATATTTTTTGAACTCGGTTTTAGTTTAAAAAAGGAACAATATATTTTACAAATTTTTAACTGTCGAACCATTAGGTCCTGCATTTTCAAAGTTTACTTTATCATTAATATATGTAAAATTGTATCATCTATTCTAAAAATATAGTTTCTAACTTTAATTTTTGTAGGAGGGTAATCTTCAGAAATACAGATCCGAACACCACATCATACACTGGTGACATTGTCTATAAATTTACGCGGACGAAGTCTTGGGAAAATAGGTACATATCACATACACTCACACATTGTATATAAAAACAAAACCAGTAGTCTGGTCCCGCTCCAATTTAAATAAATGACATGACGAGCACCAGATTTCAAACCTCCTTTCGAAGACACTTAAAAATTCTCGAAATAAGCGTCAGTTTCGTTAAGTCTTAGTTAACTGTTTCAATTTGGAACATGATTTAAGACGTTATTTAAGCAGATACCGCACTGAGTAGGAGGGAACAATGATCAATGAAAACTTAAGACTAAATTAGCAGTACTTCAAGGAAGTGAAATGAGCTCTATGTTTTATATGAAATTGGTTTGTAATAGTTTTTTTTAACTACTTTCCAGGATGACTGCACAGTGCCACGATCTGGCTTCTAGGTTTGTTTACATTTTAACACGCGGAAAGAGCAATACGCTAGCTCCTGAAGACTTTGTACCTCTGGTTCAAGACGTCGTGGACACCCATCCCGGCCTTTCGTTTCTCAAGGAAGCAACTGAGTTTCACTCAAGATATGTACATACTGTAAGTAATATATAATAATCCAATAAAGTATAAAAAACAGAAACATTCCACAATACGAAATTGCAAATTTTTTAGCCAGATATTCTATTCCAAAACTGTAAGTTAGTTAATTTCACATACAATGCGTTGCTGTATATTCAACAGACATATCATTTTCTTCCATATTTTATTACGAAAAAAGTTATAATAGTTGATGAATTATTTATATGAAGGCATCTGTAACATGACATGACCCACTTCCAACTTCAAATACTCAGAACTAGAGACTTCCTTCCCTTAGGAAATCAAGTTTATTCTCATCTTGAACGATAAAAAAGTTGTTTTACTGACACCATATAAGTAAAATATTAATTTCATTCATACTCTTTACATTATGAACAGATACCAGTAAATATGAATTACAATAAACAATATGATTGTACCCACAGTATTCTAATGGTTTAATGAGTATACAATACCTTCTTAAATGTTATAAAACAAAGGACCCCACCGCGTCTGCTACTGGATGGATTTTCACGCGGCTTTCACTAATGTATGGAGTAATTTATGAGGAAAGTTTGGTGTATAATTCATTAATTCTCTTTTGTTGTTATGTTAACTGGCTTATACCTATTTAGGATGTGACATCGGTTGTTGAAGTTGGAAGCGATTATGGTAGCTAGGAATTTATTTAAATACATATGTAAAACCGGTTAAGTGTGAATCGGACTCGTGTACGTCGCGTCCCTGAAATGTTTATTTTATTCAAATTTTTGGTATTTGTTGTTGAATCGGCAACAGAATACATCATCTGTGAAAATATCAACTAACTTTCACTAATAGGGTTCCCGTTTTACCCTTTGGATACGAAACCCTAAAAAGGAAATCTGACCTAATTGTTAATTAGGCACAGCCCAACTTAGTTCACAGTGTCAATTTAGTTTTCAGTTTAAGTCAAACTTAAAAAATACCTACTTCATAAATTTAGTTAAATTTATATGGATAACATTGTCTAATGGAAAAAAACCTTTGCGAAACTATTGCAGTAGCAATAATAACTTACAAACAAATAATATTTACTTACAATAGTTCGTCTATCTAATACCCAATAAATAAAGCCTTTATTGAGTGACAATTTATGATCCCATGGGAAATCCTCGTGGAACTTGTTAAGTGGCTCATAGTCGGGTTAAGTTTAGTAACATCGGGATCAACGTCAACTGACACAGTTGTTTCGAATGTCGTAAATAATAGAAGTTAAATATTATATGAGATAGGTTAGGTTTGCTTTTACTCTTAGGAGCCTATGAGTTAGGTTATATTAAACAAGAGACAATAACGCAGTACATATTTAGAACCGTAGTTGAATTTTCAAAATATTGAAATAAAACGGCTGGTCGTAGAATGGGTGACCAATTTATGGTCTTGATCCGCTCCGTGCTCAAAAAGGCACGTTAAGTTATTAGTCCTAACTACATGTGCTGTTGTTATCACCCACCGAACTGCCCTGGTCCAAGGTTCTTTTTGTTTCACCCATAGGAATTGCCATTCTTTCTGGAGCTCCCAACGAAGTTATATTTAAGTGACTGGTCCGTGAACACTCTCTCAACATTGCAATTAAGCCCCCTGTATCTAATTTCTTTATATGTGGCTTTCGCCAGCGGCTTCGCCAGCGTGGTCCCTAGGGAAATGTTTAATGGGGTACAAAGTATCTTATTATCTAAGCCAGCTAATACCCTATCTGTATACCAAATTTCATCAAAATCCATTCAGTAGTTTCGGAATCAAACAAAGGATATGTATTGTGTATATATATAGTATGTTTTCGATTTAGTGTATACTTCAACAAATATGTCATTTTATTACAGTTATTGTTTGTTTTATATCATTGTTGTGCCCGTAGTATTTTCTATAAGACACGCTTACTGGTAAACTGTTAAGAAATTCTGTATGGCATTAAGTCCACTCTTTGCTGTATTATAATAAATAAATGCCTGTGCTCCAACAGTGAGTACATTATTTTAATAATTCCTTTGATTTCAGGTGATCGCTAGGATATTTTATTGCGTAAACCGGTCATGGTCCGGTAGGATATCAATTGCAGAATTAAAAAGATCGAATCTCTTACAAGTGATACAATTACTGGAAGATGAAGAGGACATTAATCAAGTTACGCAATATTTCAGGTAATTTAGTGGCGGCTCAATGAAACTTAGCGCCATAGGCAAAACACTGGAACGGCGCCCATAAAAAAGTCACAACAAAATAAAAAACCAATGTAGGCACACCGATTGAAGATTGTAATTTTGCTAATGAGAAAAGAAGCTCCTTAGATATTGCCGTCTGACAATTTTGAATACCGCGGCCATGGATTCATGTTACAACAGCAAAAGTTAATTAAAGAACTAAATTAAAAACTATTTAAAGTACTACATTTTAAGGTTCAAATGATTATAGCTATTGTAATTTGCCTATATGGAAGGCCGGCTCTGATATAATTATAGTCCGCTCTGTGATGTTATAATTCATCACTAATTAGTAGCTGATCCTGTATCCTGATCCTGTAACCTAGATCCTGTATACATTTCTGATTTAATTTGATGTTTTATTTCTCTAGTAAGCTTTTCAGTCTTCTATTTTAAAATGCTTGTTCATATAAGATGTGAAGGAGATTTGCCAGTTGTATTTTTCTTCCATACTTTTGAATGATTACAACATTCATTATTTTCTTATTTTAATTTATCAGCGAAAAATAAAAAGTAATCAAAAGATATATAAAAGAGACAATATGAAAAGAATAAAGATTAGTTCCTCAAATGATAAGGTAACCACCAAAATAGTTTCAAGGGATAAGCAGTACGTACCTTCAGGGAAGAACTTAGGCCCGACGCAAACAAAACGTTAATCATATTAAAGGTATAAATGAGTGAGTAAATACTACACATTTTGATGATGGCCCATCATCAAAATCGATGGCTAAATGCGTAATATTGCTAGTAGAATTTTGACATAAAAGGAGAAACAGTTACAGAACTTGCACTTCGAAGCAAAGTCTGTGCTTCGAAGTGTATATTATTACAAACACAACGTAGTCACAAAGGTAAAGAAAAATTATGGTTTATTTTAATATCTTATTAATTATCAATGTCTATAACTTCATCATCCAAAAATGAAGCAAAGTGATTGGAATGTTATTGATGTCTAGCCCATTCCAAAAAATATAATACGCTCATGATATGGGCGTAACAAACCAATGTTCACCTCACTTGTATACAAGAACAGTAATAATCAAATATGGCATTCTGATCATCTTCTCTTTCGTCTATAAAGAACGTACGTTCATCGTGCTTCTCACATGCCGCGATTGTATGCGACTCCTTATAATAACACAGTAGTTATCATTCCAAAGATTACCATAGGATGTCGAAAAACTTCAAGCTCATAGAACCGGAGCGCTTAGTGTAAGTTTTTATGACTTTTACGTTCACTGTGACTACCAAGAACTACAAATCTCCATACAAATTCTTAACTCGCTCACTGAACGCGTTAGCGTAAAACTTACACTTACCACTCAGTACGCTTCAGGGTGCTCACTGCGATAAGTTTAAATTTGCCAACTGTAGTTAAACTCAAATCTTCGTTTATGTTTCATCCCATCAAAAACTACTGTGAGATAGCGAATGAAGTAAACAAGACTAGCCAATGCGAACACAGATTATATAGAGATACACGAGAGAGAGAGAGAGAGAGAGAGAGAGAGAGAGAGTTTTGTGCAAGGAAAAGTATTGTTTTCTAATAATTCTCATTAGTGACCCCAGATAAAATTCGAATAGCGATATCACACATTTAGCCATAGAATTTGATGATGCCCCCTGTGCAGTATTTACTTACTCATTTATACCTTTAATATGAGTAATATTTACTTGAGTTTGGGCCGTGCTTGGTTTTTTTTGGGTATTGTTCTTGGAATTAATAATTCCTAAATGTTCAAAATTAATTGTTTATATTTTAACTCTTCTCCTTCCTGATTAGCTAGCGTTAATTGATATTCTACTAACATACCTTCAATCAAAATATGTGAAACAAAAATTAATTGCTGGCTTTCATTGCAATTTTGAATGTTTGGCTTGTAAGATAGGTTTAATATTGTTATTTATATTAATAAAAGGCAAATTTCGATAAATTCAACAATTCTTGCTAATAAGCATGCGAGTAATGTGATTATATAAGTTATTATTAATTATGTTTCAGTTACGAGCATTTTTACGTGATCTACTGCAAATTCTGGGAATTGGACAGGGACCACGATCTGTTCATAGATAAGCATGATTTGGCCAGGCACAATGATCACGGTAAGTCTTTTTCTTTAAATATTTATTTCCCCATTTAAAATATTGAATCGATTTCGATGGGTTTCAGTTCTTTTATTTTCTTTTTTTTAATGATACGTCACCTTTTTTCTCGCAACTCCATCCGCCTAAATTATGGCCTATGTCATTCGCGTATGATGTAGCTTTCCATAGAGAAAATATTTTTTTTAAATTTCGAACTAGTTTCAGAGCCTATTTAATGTAAACAAACAATTGAATCTTTCCTCTTCAATAATAGATAACAAAAAAAAGTTGTATTATTTGTTTACAACTGGCCACTATTAATGAACCTCCTTGTTACTCTTGTTTTTTTGTTTAGAGAACAAGAAATAAAAAGTGTCCACAATTAATGTCTATTCATAATATTTATTGTTCGGTCAACTTTAAATATTTATTATAATATCTTCCTTCATGAATTTATAATTCTATCTGCTTTTATAATCTTTTTGGAAAAGCTTAAAGAAAATAAAGTTACCTACAGTGAATTCTATTCTTATGAAAACACTCGTTTTCATTTTTTATATTGTCGTATTTGCAAGAAGAATAGAGAAAAAATAACATGAAATTATGTATTACTTATGATAGTAATAGAGAATCTCTATATTTTTTAAATGTATTATAAACTATGATGTATTATTTTAAATTACATTGTAACAAACAAACTCCTAAATGTTAAAATTTCTAATATCAGTGATCGTTTATTACTGACAATTCTAATTCCAGCTTTATCAAGTCGTATGATCGAACGGGTATTGTCGGGGTGCGTGACGCGCGGCAACCAGAATAGGCTGACCCCTGACGGCGAGCCGCGAATGTCCTACACGGAGTTCGTGTGGTTTTTGCTAGCTGAGGAAGACAAAACACATCCAACTGCAATCGAATATTGGTTCAGGTAAAAACAGCTAAACTTCTTGGTAAATTTTAACAACTGTTTCTTGTTCTTAAATTTTGCTTTGTTTCAATTAGTAAAGGAACTAGAGTACATATCACGAAAAAGTTCCATTAACTCAGATTTTTTAATAAAAACCGAAGACATGTTATGGATAAAGGGATTTCTTCAGTAAAACCTTCTTTTAATCGAAGTGTTAACAACTTTGCAATGCTGAAGGATCAACAAAGATATATGTCTAAAACCTATTTACCCCATTAACCAATTTTATAAAGAAGAAAGTTAAAATAGGCGAGGTCTTACCGATCTTTTAAGAAAATCATTAAATGAAACGTCGTTATAGTTGACGTTTTAGATGAATAGAATTAAAATCTATTTTTATTACGTTATTTTCATTCACTTTTGTTATATTCCAAAAGAGTGTTGTTATCTACCTAATTAGTTGAACTTAAACAAAATTGTAATGATTTGAGATTGATTCTAAAGCCTATTTGTGTAACCTTTATATATTATTGCGAATACGCTGTTGCATATCACAATCAGGTAATTTCTTTTTTCCGACTCATCGCCATATATATTTGTTTATGTTTATAGATGTATGGACGTAGACGGCGACGGATATATATCAATGTACGAGCTAGAATACTTCTATGAGGAACAGATGCAACGTATGGAGGCGATCGGCATCGAGACGCTGCCTTTCAACGATTGTTTGTGTCAAGTAAGTTCACTAACATCTTATCATGAATTATAAAATGCAGCGCAAACACTGTTGAGAAACTGCTATGTTTCAACTCGCTTGTTTTATCATTGCATCGTTAAAAACTCCGTAATTACCCCCTGAAATGTTCTTCTCTGGTATTCAAATTAGAACGAACTTTTGTAAGTTTTTAAATGGAGAAGAAAATCAGGATTCAGATATTTTTGAACATAGTTATATTACTGTTCTTCGAATACTTTTTTTATTTTTATTTCAAAAAAGAAAAAATCCTATAAATTGAATATCACTATAACATTACTAATGAAAATTATTAAATACAATACATCACTATTTTTTATCACTATTCGAATGCGCGACCCAAAGAGTTTCATATCCTTACCTAGACATCCATTTTACATACGGCTCAGAATAAAATTCTGAGTCCTGTTAATGCTATTTATTTTCTTTTTTCCCAGATGCTGGACATGGTGCATCCGGCCGAGGCAGGCAAAATAACATTGTCCGACTTGAAGAGATGTAAACTCACACCAATCTTCTTCGACACGTTCTTCAACTTGGAGAAGTATCTCGACCACGAGCAGCGGGACCCATTCGCCACCCAACGGGACTCTGATTGCGAGGTGAAATTCTAACACCAACATAAAACAGTTTAAAATTCTCTGGACATCCTTAATTTTATCTAGTACTTAAACAATTTTGAATTTTATCACTACGTATGTGGAGTACATTTTGTTATTTTCTACTCTCACAGTGAGAAAAAAAACTGGGCCACGGAGGTCAACATTCCGTTCGTGATTGTAACATTATAACGCTTATAAGTATTTCAATTAAAAATTACATTTACAATCATTTCTTATAATTTAAAAGTTAAACATAGTGTGTCTATTGCGTTGGAAAAGCTATTGAAAGTGTGAACTAGGCGCGGGCACTAGTAGATCGTAATAGAATGCAAGTTTTCCGATGATCGTCTTCGATATCGTCTTTGTTTGATTTAATATCCTAAAAACTAATTTAATAATAAAAAAATAAAATAAAAATTCTTAATCTTTCGTTATTAATGTTAGAAAATAATGTTTTTATTTTACCTTGCAGATGTCTGAATGGGACAGGTTTGCAGCTGAAGAATACGAACTGCTAGTAGCCGAAGAAGGTGGCAGCGATGCACAGGACCAAATGTAAGCATCAATAATAGCATTCCTTATTTCACTAGTATAACGTCTCTTTTATTTAATTAACAAATAAAACTGTAAAAAATTGCTGCCACAAATGTGTAATCTGTGGATCAAACAACAGTGGTTTTTCATTGTCGATCCTTCATAATTGTACTGAATATTTTAAACATCTAGCAATAACAAAAATCTTTCTCGCAAACAGGGATTTATATAGGATAATGAGAGAATCAGAAAGAAAAAAGTGTATGAGACGATTCTATGAATTGTGCAGAAGTAATGGATTCAACGGTCACAAATATTACAAATAAATATAACATAAAGTTTGGGTAACTATTTGGAATGGACATAAATATATTAAATACCCTATAATCCAGCACTCTAGAGGATACTATTAGTTACATAATGCATTTTGAGCCATTTTGATAGCACATCTCATAGAGGATCCGCCATCGCCACATATTAACGCAACTCTCTTTATATCCATCATGTTCTACACTTATGCAATATGTTCTGAATGCAATCACGATTTATATATAACCTTAAGAATAACTTATCTTTATTATGAAAAAAAAAACTGTTATTAACATCACAAGAAAAAAATCAAAAGATAACGTTGTCTTCTTTTATTTATCTAAGTTGTTATTTCAGTATTTTGTGTATGTATGTGATTTTGTTTATTTGTTCTTATTTGATTATGTTATATCATTATTATTATTTTTAAACTTCGATTAGTTTTATTTGGTTTCTTTGTGTTCATTTTATATTGATATTTGTTTCATCAGGGAGGACGACAGAACTGGCTATGCTAGGGTAAGATTGTGTTCGTGAATTGCAGTGTTATGCATTGTGGCATTTTGCATCAGTATAATCTCTTTGATCAACGAAATCACTTGACAGTTGGGGGCCTGCTCTACAAGTTTGAAATCGATATTTCGAATAACTGCAAAATAACTACTTTTCCAAGTTTGTTAATATAATGAAATGGTTAATTTTTATATGATTTTGACTTTTAAAATTACCCACTATTGCGAATCCAAAAAAAAAATAGTTAAAATACGTTTGAATTAATTGGTAGTCAATCGAAGGACTACAATTACAGATACTATAATATTCTACCTGGTTTTTAAACACATTCCCTTTTAACATTGGGAGCTTCTTTTTTGTGGATTATTTCTATATGTACAAATAGCCTTTCGAAATACGATACTTCGTTTTCAGACACTCTGAGTTGGCTTTCCAATAAGGCCGGTATAAAAAACGCAGCAATAATGATCAGCACAGATGTTCGTTGTACAAAGCTTTGTACATTGCCGCTTTTATTAATAACTGCTTTGTGCATCACGCTATGTACATCGAATTATATGGTGTAATTGTTTCCGCTTCGATTTTTATACTGACCGCTGAGCTTGGTGGAATCACCGACCAAGTGTCGACACTGCGACAGGCCTGGAATTTTGCAACGACTTTCGCTTTATTTATACGTGTGCAAATTCTCATGACACATTCTTCAAAATATAATAAGATAATAAGAATGGCAATATTTTTCTTGGAGTTCTATGCTGTTTATACCGCTTAAAAGTCACCGTCTGCCTTACTGATGAAAATTTTTGTTTCCATTGTAAATATTTTCAATTTATTTTGATCGGGCGCAGTTCCGTGCTTTGTTTGTGAATAATGAGATGTCGTAATCGGGCATGACGCAACACTAACAATGACCCTTGGTTTACTTGCATTCAGTACATATACTTATATATACCAACAAAATTTATGTATGTGAGACACGCATTCAATCTTGATCCACGCTATAATTTGTGAACATTTTAGAATAAAATTGAATTATTGTAACATTATAAGTATCATGTATAATACAAATGGAGAGTATTTTTACAATACAGTATTTGAGCTACATATTAGAAAAAAAAATTGCAATTTAGTAACATTTTTGGGCTGTCGACATTAACTACATCGAATGCGTCCTTTTTAAAAGGCTATCAAACTCTTATGCCTTCAGATCTCACTTTTACAAATTATAAAACTCCTTTAAGGAGCTATAGCGTGGTTCAAATTCTTTTTAAATGAAGGTATGCGTTTTATATGAATTCATTAACAAAAATACTGATCTATCGAGTGATATTTCAGCTCATACGATGAGACAGATGAGGACTGTCTATCGCCGAACATAGATGACGTCACGAACACCGAAGTAGCAGACGAATCGAGCGTGGAGGAGTCCACGCTGAGCGAGGGACGGCGGGACGGCGCGACAGTGGCGCCACTCCGCCATCCCGCCGCCGCGGCAGGGTACGTCAACCTCAGCTCCATATATTCCATCGGCGGCGATAAATGGGCGAACCGGACCCCCATCAAAAACGGATTCCCAGAAAAGAAGCTACCCGAAAAACCCGTTCCGCCCGAAAAACCGGTAAGCCTGATGATGGTCAATGGCAAAACGGACAACAGGTACGCCGGGTTTGGCAACAACAGTTTCCTTTATTCGCACTTGATGAGCCCGCGGGCGAAAGATCCTCCTTCTTACACGGCAGCGACGAGCGGCGCGCTCTTCGACAAAGAAAAGGCGTCATCCCCCGTCAAGTCGAACGATTCACCAGTCACCAGTCCCGTAAACGGAATCAACAAGATATCCGACAACTATGAAAGAGCGGTCGCGGAACGGCTCAGTCCTCAAAGAGAGATATCCCGTTTAAATCGTAGCAGTCTCTTCAGCAAAGTGAACACGGGCGTGGTCGCGAGTAAAGTTAAGAAAACTAAACCCCGCCCCGACGAAGAAGACGAGGACTACGCACGGGACAGCGACGAATGCTCCATTTAGGCGGCGAAAGCCGTGTGGACTCTGTGATACCGTTCGGTGTACACCAAAGATCGCGAACGTGCAATTCGTCGACAGTAGCTTCCTATCGGACCTCCCTCCCCTTAGCATATAGTTGGACTGAATAGATACCGTTGTGTTTGAAACAGAGGAATATTTTTTCAGCGTATCCTAGACGTCGATACGTGCCTTGTGACAGTGTAGACTAAGCGGTTCCGCGGACGAACACTATAGTCGTAGAACAGTGTGCCCGTAGTACCGCTCGAATCGAACTTAACTATAGACTTAGTTTCAGCATTTCGTTAGTATTTAATATTTTTAATCGACAGTTTGTGTTTTTTGATTTATTTTGAATGTTTTTTTTTAACTTAAAGTTTAAGCAAATCAAATCATTTGTTATGTTTGCATAGTTTTGGTAATGTAAACACTGGTTTCATTTGCCTATGTTTAGATAAAGAATATGTATTTTATTTTAATTATATCTAAAAAACTCCGTCATCACTAATTCATTCATATCATGTCACTCCATCCAAATGAAATTTAAAGCACCAATACGAAAAATTATCAATTTTTTAATGAACAATAATATACTCTTATAAATAATCAGAAATAAATTTCTTCTCTTAAAACTAAACATTGCATCAAAATCAAAATAAAATCAGTATTAATACCATAGAAGTAACGTCCATTATAACGCTTTATAGTTTTTAACATCGAATAAATTCAGTATATAATAAACACGCACAGGCAATTAATTTAGAATAGTGTTGAATATATACTGAGAAAATACTGAATATTTTTGCTAGAGAACGGTAAATCGTACCGAGTATGTAGGTTCAACTTATGAAACGATTACTCGATGATTGGTGTTTTAAACACAGAAAATATGTCTGTGGTGTCATAATAATGATCCTAGTTTAAAATTAGACCACTCGGCAACTAGTTTAAATTGTTATTAGTGCTTGATTTACCATAACATTTTTAAAAAGAGACTAATTTATGTCTCCTAGAGATTTTAACATAATTACATATTCTGTGAGTTTTTACTAGCGGCATTTTTCAAATCGGTGTAGTCGTGCGTGTCTGACAAATGTATCTAATTAAACTTTTATACTAAATTCAAATTATATTTAAACTATATTTACAATTTTTTTAATTTTTATTGTAGACGTGATAGAATCAGATTGAGATGATCAGAAAGATTCGACTTTGGATGGTTCAAAAAAAGAATATCAGCATACTACACTGGTTACAAGAAAGTGTTGTAGTAAATTACCTAATAATTATTTGGCCTAAATTAAATATGGCCCTAGCACTTAGGTTAGATAATCCTTTAGCGAAGGCAGCTGTATTATAAGCTTATAGGTAATGCTAGGTAGATGTTTACATTTAAATCTAGTCTACCGGTGCTGGTACGTGGACGGTCTACCATTATGTGTCTGTATCTTTTGGAACTATCTAGGTTCATGTCTGATAAAAACTTACTGAAGGTCTTAAACATTGCCTTAATTTGACTAACGTTTAATAAAAGGTGGAGTAAGATTGTACCTATGATTGGACTTATTTCACTTGTGTATGGATATCAATTTGTTAGTACGGCCAATTTTAAAATAATTATGAACGACAAATACAACTTAAAGTTCAAAGAAAACTTAAATGTCAAAGAAGTAATAAGGCGCGGCACGTAAGTTGAACCAAAATGGTCACATTTTTGGGTCTCAATCGAGGTGCGGGGATGAGATGCAGCTAGTAATAATATAGGTACTGGAAATGCTTTTGCGGCCTGTTTTTGGTCAACTTACGTGCCGGTGCATTTGGTTATGAAAAATTATATTTTAAGAATCAGGGCCTATATACGTAATTGTGTCATTGTAGCGATATTGAGGGTTAATTTTTAAGAACATATATATATATCGTAACAAAACGAAATATATATTCAAAGATTTAAGACAATGGGCGTTTTCATACTGCGACGATAAAAACACGACTCGATTCGATTTAAACAAAATTTATTTAGCAGAATTGGTCCCCATTTATCGTTCAATGTGAATACGCCCACTGTTATCGGTCAATAAATTAATTGAATTACTTTCAACAGGATTTCCAAGGTGAAATTGAGTTGACTTAAAAAAATAAGCAGGTACATAAACTATATATTTTATATTACAGCCAAAGAACAGGGGGCCTACTCTGCTTCATAGTGTTTTGAATAGTTTCAAAATGTTTTAATGATTTTGTTTAGAGCACCGCATTAAAGAAAATGACGGATATCAATCCTGTTACACTAAAATATAAAACATTCATTATTTATTACTTATAATTTCATTTATATATATTACTTATTAAAGATTTTTATTATTAAATGTATAATAAATTATTATAGGACTTCTCTCGTAGTTCACAAAATTCTTTTAGTTAATCGAATAATATTTTGTTTTATTCGTTGCTTAAATAATTAAAAACAAAAACCTTTAATAAAGTTGCAATGTTTCTATAATATTTAATAAGTATTATAATGATTTTAAATTCACATTTATGGTCTAAAAAACTTTTGAAGATGTATGATTTTTCCCATACATTTAAAACTAATTAAACCTGTGCCTCTCAAACTGTTGATCGTTGATTACATATAATAATTTTCATCTATTTAATTATTTAGTATTTCGTAATAATTTCCCCTTGTAAGTCTAATCCTTAACTAATACTACAACTAGTCATAAATCTCAATTCCTTACAGTCCTCAACTGAACTAACTTTACCAATTAATAACCAAAATAATTGTTCACCTTTTTGATAAATTTTATTAATATGTTGTGTACTGTTAATTACTAGTATAATTTTTATTAATGGTATGTTTTAAATACCTAACTACCACTTTGAGCTTAGCTGTAATTCGGTAAAAAATTTAAATTAGAAACCTAGATTTAATAAGTTATAAGATTCATGACGATTTTGTCAATGAATCTATATAACTAGTTTTGAGAAAGTTATATTAAAACATGTGTTACTTAAATTAATTTATTATACTGAGTTAAAAATTAATTGCTTTAAATAGTAATCTCGATATTTAGATTTGTATTTTATGATTTATCTAATTTTAATTAATTATAGCGACATTTTTTAATTGAATGTTATTTCTTATAAGATAAATTAAATTAATAAAAAAGCTTCCATCCGAAATAGCCAGCCATTTTAAAATCAGTGCCATTCCTTTTAACTTACGAAGCAAAACGCAAGATTCGAAATATAAAGAAGCGTTGCCAGACGTCCCGATTATGAACTCGAAAATTAAGCGTGCGCGCCAGCGCGTGACAATCTCTTTCCTGTCGCTTTTCATTTAACCACACATATTATAAGTAAGTTAATCATAGTAATGCTGAAACTTCATTGTATTAGATAATGAAAGAAACTACTGATTTTATGCACTGATTTTACCTATACGAAAATAATCCGGCTTTAGTTCCTCACAATTCCGCTTAAGCCGAACTATATCTGGCAGCGCTATACTAAGCATTCAAAATATTATGTATTTTTATTGCGTTCCCTTGATAATTAATTTACTAATAATGTCCTTAGTAGGTATGTACTAAAACATGTAAGTTACATCTTTATTATTCGTTAACTTTGTAACACAATATGTACCTACTTATTTGGAAGATAAATGGAATAGAAGCATTAAAAGGCGAATAATAATTCAGTAAGAAGTATAATTTGGTTAAACTCGCACGCTTTTCGCGTGATTTTGATCACGTAGTTTTTCTTATTATTTATATTTTATAACCTTTAATTTACAAAATATTGTACTCGACACACAGTTGTAGACTGTTTTTGACATATTAGAAAATCATTATAAAACGTGAGATTAATGACAAGCATTGTTATTTGTAAGATTTTTTTACAAAACTAGAAGTGACCTAGTAGTTAATGGTATGTTAACGTGAAAATGAAGGTGACAGACCTATTTGTTAAGTATCTAATAAAGTACATCATTGTATTTATCTCTGGTTAGTTTTATTTCTTTAAAATCCTCACTTGTGTTATAATTACGTTCATCGTATAGTTCATAGAGCCGTTTTCTGCTTTTGTATATTCCGTGTAGCTCAGACACTTAAAGTTAATACTAATTTTTTTGGGACAAAAACGTTATTGAATTCTGTACAATAAACATCAAAGAAATCTTTGTACAAATCATTGGGATTACTTTTATGTTTCAAATGACACAATTTACTATCTAATTGATTTTTAAAACGTTCCAAGCGACTCATACTTTTTGATACTACTGTAATGTCTTTCCTAGCCACAAACGTGGATTTATGCGGAAAGTTAACTATTTGTCCAAAATGCTATAGTGGGCTCCTTTAACATGTGTGCAAGATTATAGGACATAAATAAATTTAAAAGTTTTGTACATGAATTGGAGTTTCCTAATAAATCAACGTTAAAATCACCACCAATCATTAATCATTTCGCCATGACAGCCTTTCCGGTTTTCTTTCATGTTTAAAAGTAAATTAGTTTTCTAAACTCAATAAAAAACTCATATTCTATTTGTACTTTTTCGTATTTGTATTGATATCTAAGTTTCGAACTTTCAAATTTCAGTTTTTTAATATGTTAGTTATTTAATAGGAACGAAAATGACTGTGTTTGGTCCATTCGTTGTTTCCTGTAAAAATCAACTTTTGCTAGAGTCGTCATCTAATGGAGGTGCTTTTTTATTGTTTTCTTTTTTTTTAAATACTTCCTCATTTGGACAACTTGTACATCTAATCTTTGTACATCTTTGACATCTATTGGTAGTAGTATTATAATTCGTCCATGGGACAGGCGAAGGAAATGACATCTATTGGTATTTATCGATTCCCCGATATGTCAGTGCATCCTTATTTTTGAAAAACGCGCGGTCAAATTCTTTGTCAATGTCAAATGAAATATTCTACAGGTGTTATCGAGGTGTTATTATTGTAGTGGCTTTTTAATGTTGATTTATCCAAGCCGCCGCC